ATTGGTCATATTACGTTTTGGTTTTAAAAATATTTTTAGAGGTATACTTGTTCCATAATTATACCAGGTCATTATGCCCAAAAATTAGTGCTGCCATTGTTGCCAATCTTTGTTTGCCAAGCTTTTTAATCCTATTTTGTGTGTTTTTTTACTGAGTGCTTCGGGTTATTGTGAAAGAGCACTTTAAATCTATAAAAATGAAATAAATATCCCATTTCCTTTCGGAAAAAGTGCTTTGGAATGAAACAGTCCAATTAAACAAGATACGTCTGGCTTGTTAGACATTCTTTTAGCACAGATTAGCAGCTCTCATGACGAATGGTCCCATTAACTTTATTAAATCTAACATTAGCCTTAGTAAGTGATGCTGAATAGTATCAGTATATCATTATCTGCAAAAATTAGTCAGAAAGTGATAGCTGGTCTTTTTTATAATCTCTTAGGATTTTAAGCTTGTACTGCACTCAAGGCTTTTGCAGAAGGTGCTGTGGTGCCAGATGATAAGCTGGCCTGTGGAGCTCCTGTGATGAGACCTGCTTTGGATGTTTGAGAAGCAGAATCAGAGGGGGACAGGGAGGGGTGGTGTAGGGGGGGTTGGAGAGGGTATTAGGTTTGTGTGTGGGGGCGGATAGAGCACTTAATCTCTGTATGCTGCTCAGGAATCCCGCCACATAGCTACAGCTCAGTCACCTGTGCTGGCCCACCTTCAGCTCTTAACACACAGCCCGTTAACCCAGGAGCTGACTCACACCAGCCATACCCCCCTGAGTGCGCTGTGACCGTGAGAAAGTGAGTTGAAGTACTAGCGTGGCAAACACTCAGTTTACAGTTTACCCAGCTTACTAAATTTACACCTCACACCATTTAAACTAAATGTAGGTTATCTAAGTGGTTCTACAAATAAACCTATTGAGTGAAATATTTCTGTTAAGTATCTTAGCCTAATGAAGGTAAATTATTAATCATTTATTTGTTGTAATGTAGAAGAAACTATGTTCACCTGCCCTGGTTACATAAAGACAATAGCAAGTTGCCAAATAATACCAAGCGGTACATTTTCTAAATGGTTATATAGCCTGTTGCTGACAGCAGTGCAGCCTTCATGCTACATAATCCAACATCCTATAGTGGTAAAAAAAAATTACATCTAGTAAAGAACACAAATTAAAATCGGACAGCTGAGATGTACATAAGTGTAAAGACAAAAAACCCCAGCAAAATTAAAACTGAAACCATAACCAGGACCCTAGGCTAAAGCATACCGCCACGGCTGGCATGGATCTTTTTTTTCTTTTCATTTATATCTTACTTTTGATGACATTATGTGTGGAAGTAGACAGTTCACGAATCACTCCCGACAACAACGGAGCAACTTTTTTCTACAACTCATGGTGGCATTTTTATTTTTTATTTGGCTTTGGGAATGGTTGTCCTTTACCTCACTGGGGTATCAGGTCTCACTTTTAGAAGCAGATCTTTTGAATATTTGGTGCTTCAAATTGAAAGTACATTCACAGGAATTGTAGCTTGTTGCTTAAAAAAAAAACGAGAGCAGTGATTGATGGACAAAATGAAACGGGCTGTTTAGGAATGACATGGAAAGCATTAGGATTATCATCAGCTGTAACGTAATAACAAGTTTCAAATATTTAAAAAAAAAAAATGTGCTGCTAGTAGAGTTCCCATCATGAGTCAAGACAGCTGTAAATTTTGTCATAATTGCTCATGGGGGCCCCCGGCTGGCTTGAGCCCCATAGCATGTGCCCATAAAACCAGTAGGATGATCCAGGCCTGTTGCTGGTCCTTGTGAGGAAAAAAGTTATAGAAAATGATCATTTTTAAATTGCAATCACAATATTGGTCAAAACAATCCTAATTTATTTTCTTACAGCCAAAGCTTATAGCCAAGACATGTTTGGTATTGTTGTTAAAGCATATCACAGCTGAGAAATACCCATCATAAAGGCTGAAATTTGTGCGTATTTTGTCCAGGTTTATAGATAACAGTGTTTCATACAGAATCCACATAAGCAAGTCTATTTGAGATTATTAAACTCAACACAGTTTGAGGCAGAGTAGATATTACAGATCATCTTGTTGTCTCTGGCCACAGCATTTAACTTTTTAACCACAAATAATGCAGCCAGAGTGGCCACCTGCCTTGAAGACCATGATAGTGTGGTGGCCCGGGGTCAAAGATGCTGTTGGCTTGACTGAAGTTTGCATGTAATTCTATGAAATAAGTTCCTAAAAGAAAACAAAACTCCAGAGTACTGGACCACCACCAACTGTAAAATAATAATAATAATAATAATAATAGTCACCATCATCATCATAACAAGTAAAATATTTAGTAACTTTGAATAACAAGTAAATCAAGTTACTTTATTTAAACAGTGCAATTATGCAGGACTCTTATTTTAACAGCAACCGCAACACATCTGTAATCCAGCCAAAGTCAGTTTAGAACTCACTAGAAATTTTAGATCTCGTCCGAGGAACGAGCAATAGCATAGTATTAGTATTACTAGCATTACTAGCATAGTACCATATCTATCTGACTCTGATTATTTATATTTGCACATGTGCCCACACGCACGTCCACAGTTACTCAGAATCGTGTAAAGTCAGAAAAACGTATGGTTTCTTTTGAGAGTGTCAAAATAAGAGCACAAACATGTTATTCTCTGACTGCTAGCATTATACCTTCTGAGCCAGCTTATGTTTCATTGGCTGTAACACAAACTGTAATACAATTTGTAATACAAAGGTAACTTTACAGAGTAGTATTTCTAAAAATAGTGATTGGAACAATATCGTTTCACTTTACGTCATGGTCAGTTTATTAATCGTGTACTACTGCTTGATGACTGTGTCTAAATATAAGCGCTTGTACAGCAACATAACGGAAAAATTCCAGTTGAAGTCAGATATGCTGAAGTTGTAGTTTTCCTGTTTTCACTGTTTTCTTTGTCATAGGACCCACATAGAAGATGTGTTCCAGTGAATGTGTTTCTGCTTTCCTCCGTCACTTGTTAGTCTTATACTGATCGTGTTGAGAGGGTGTAAGAGTGAAATTTTATACTGTGTAGCGCCACCTGCTGCCTGTCTCAGACAGTGCTCTGACATGTGCATTGCAACAATAGATATCAGTCAGTCAGTCAGTGACTCAGTGAGAGATATTGACTCTTGTAAGCCGACATACTGGGCAGTAATGTGCTAAATAGCTGAGAAGCCATCACAACAGGAGCTAAACAGTACCTAACGACAGCCTGTATTGGATGATGTCAGGGCTGATCCGCTGGGCATGGGGGACCACCACGGTCACTGCAACTGATGTAAAGATTTTAAATTAATGTTTCCTTTTTAAAGCAACACCTCATTGTCTTGTTAATTGTAAATACAGTGTATATACAGTAAACATGTTTCTGTTATTCTGGTCATACATTTTTAATTTTGGCCACAAGATTTATTGACATCACATGTTTTTATCTGTCCACCACTGGTTTGATGTTAATGCATGATTCAAACATGAAGTTTGCATTACTTGTTAGCTACATTAGCCTTGTAGCTCCGGTGCAAGACTAAAGAAGCAAACTTTAGACACCAAATATGTCTTGGATGATCAATTACATTTTGAGTAAGATGGAATTTGTACATTTTTGGCTGAACTTCTGCTTTAAAATATTCAGTCTGATATTAAAAAATCTCTCATTTTGCTTCTTCTTCTCTCTCTTGTTCCTTTTCTCTCTTCTTCCACTCTGTCTCTGCTCATGACGTTAGTGAGTAAAAATGTGATAGCTCCACTCCCCTCCTCACGCAGACAGATGGAGTGGTTCCCTGTGCCAAAGAGATTCGTCTATAACCATTCTGCTCCCATCACGACCTGTTTGAGGTGCTCTCGCTGTCGAGCTTTAATATGTCACATCAATTACATCATAACTGATCCAGCATTTCACCAAAACCCATATTTTTTAGGACTTTGGTCAGTTCATCATCACTGACTTTCCCCCAACGGTGTGTATATATTAGTTTATGTGAGAGAATATTTGAGGATTAGTTTAAAAAAAAAAAAAGTACTATAAAATCTTCTGTAACTAACTTGTTAAAATCCTTATAAATGAAGGGCACTGTGAGGATCTTTGTGAGGACCTTTTAAGCTGGGAGGAGAGAGAACACTGGGAGCAGGTGGTGGAGACACAGACTTTTCCTTTTATTCTAAACACAACACAAATTGCTCAACTTTCCAGCCGACATACAAAATTAAAGAGCACGTTTGGAGGGACTTTTCAGTCTTTTTCTTTTCTTGAGCCTCCACTACTCTCCTTCTTTCTCTGGGCTCTGCTACCGACTGAGAAAAGAGATGGCTGTAAGTAAGCTGGCAGAAACAAGGCATAGGTGAATCTTATCAGCTACTCACCCTGCTCTGCCCCCCCCACCCCCACAGGCACCTGTCATTATCTTTCATATAAGAGTTTAATATAGTGTATGAATATTCTTAAAGTTTCAAAATGTCAGTGTTTTAGCCTGGACTGTTTTTGAATCAGGAGCAGTAAATGGTAGCCAATCAGAACAGAGCTTATATATATTGGGCCTCATTCACCAATATCTTCCTAAGTGTTTTTTTATTAAATTGGTTCTTGAGAAAGTTCTAAGAAAAAGTCTGCGTCAGATTTATGACAGGTTCTTAAACCACAGAACTGTTCACACCTTTGTGCTCTTGAGTGTGTTTAGATTCTGTTGTTACCTAAGAATGAACCCCAAATAAGAAAACATTAATGAATATTCATGAAAACTGCATTAAGTGGGATTTCCGTATAGTAGCAAAAACAACCTGTGTAATTCTCAAAGGTAAAGAGAGGTTGGAAAATGGTCATGTAAAATGAATTATGACTGTTTTTGATACCCAAACCCACACAGATATTATATTTATGAATATAGGATTGCTGTATTTCAACTGCAATTATAAATAATTCTGTTTTTGCTATTTATGTTTATAGGCAGTGGATCTCAGGTAGTGGTGGCGTTCTCAGCTTTTCTGAATGGCCACTACACACCAGCTGACCTGACTGGGGATATAGCAGTGTCCTACAGCTCTCCCACAGGTATGAACTTACACTCACATGCTCACACGCACATTCATTTTCTGCTTTTCTTTACTGTCTGTTCATCTGCTGTTCTTGCAGTATTCCCTATGTGCGTCATTAGCAGTGAGCCTGACAAAGGAGTAGAGGTGGGCGATATGGCAAAAATGTAATACCACAATACTTTAAGATGTAAGATTTAAGATTCATGATATGCAATATGTTCCAATATATATTTTTTTCTGACATTTGATATAAGACTAGGTACACAGTGTGTATATATAGTGAAGTATTGTGTATTGTGAAAACTTTCTGAAGTATTGTGATGTTACATTTTTGCCTTATCGCCGAGCTCTAGTGTATACCGCTATACACATATCAAAACTGAAGTGATATTGTGAGTGATAATATATTAAAGTAGCTTGCAGCTGAGTCTTCAGGGTCCAGTTTCCCAAAAGCATCTTAGTGGTAAGATCCTCTTCTCTGGTAGAGAGAGTGTTCACTGTGATGCTTGCTCTATCATTTAAGAATCATCTTTGTGCTAAAATGCTTTTGGGAAGCCCATCCAAGATCAGTCCACCAGATTTGATCATAAGCCAATATTAAAAACACAGTAAATATAATCATTTTGAAAAAGTTGGCTAAAAAACAAAACATATCAGTCCAGGATGTCACATTATGCACACACTAAAATTAATTGATTTTAATTGTGCAGCTATACAATTAAAACATAAATAGTGGTTCAGCCTCAGTATTGGGTCGTACTCAATATTAAAAAAATTAACGGGAACATCCTCCAGATTGTAGAATGATTCCTAAAGACCATTTTGAAAACGGAGTCATTATTATATTAAACTGATCCGGAATAGTTTAACAACCAAACATATCCAGCCTAAAGAGGTCCTATGGCCAAAACTGACCACTGATGAAGGACCAGAGGACAGCAGAACTGATAACAAAGTCAACACACTGAAAAGGTCGTGTAAGAATCATGAAATCTCAAAGCATGTATGGCTGTTTTTTTTCAACCAGTACATTTGAATAAAGTAGATATTTAATACATAACATATTTGAGTGTGTGTTGCTATGTGGTGGAAATGTTATTATTTTTGGTGTGCTGAGGTCTTAAAAAGGCATTAAGAAGCATTGAATTAGATTTTTTAAATTGTGCAGCAGCTCTGTTACATTATCATCCAAACTTAATATACATTTTTTTTGCACATATTGCAATATTTATCGCAAACACCTAAAATATCACAAAATGGCTTTTTACCCAATATCGTTGACCTATACTATTTAATCAGCGTTCAAAGCTGACCTTAGATCAGCACTTTGAGAAACTCCGTACATGTGAGTCTTGGCCTGTCCAGAGCAGGTTCTGGATTCAGACAGCGTTTACGCTCTGGAAGACATTATCCTCTTCCCTCACCAAGCCCTCTTTATTTCAGTGAAAATGTCATGCCGGTTTTATGATTATTTTACTCGATTCAAAATGTTCACCGAGAAAAAGTGAAAAGGCTCGTATTTGTGCAGTTGTTTCCCTTGGACGGCGTACGGCTTGGCAGCAGCTTGTGGAAAGCTTCCTAAAAGAGCTTTAAATCTGGATTTTTTCCTTCTGCTTTTATTGTCCCACTAAAAATAGTGAGTGGAAAGGTTTTCTCTCTCTCTCTCTCTCAGGCTCGGCCTGCTCAGTCTGACATATTAGATCACAGGTAGGACCCTGTTCTCACCAACGCACATTGTCACACCTTTTAACACAGGCTTGTTACGCAGAGGGGAAACCCCACTCCCAATGGAAGACTACGTACACACACTGTACATACAGACAGCTTAGTCATATGTTCTCTCCCACTCTTTCTTTCCTCTCTGCTCTCCGTGTTTCATTCTCATACAGTGCTGTGAGAAAGTCACAGACACTATCCTATACTTTCATTTCTTCAATTTTTAGTCATTATGGTCATTATGTTAATAGTTATTCATTATTCATTTTTCCACATCATATGCAGGGCAGTAAACAAGTTTTAATAGAGAATTGCACGGATGCTTCAACAGCTAAACATAATTTCAAAATTTCCTGTATTGATTGTGTCCACTCTTTACCTTTATAAAATGTCTATTTTTTTCGGGAGACTTGCTTTCAGTTAAAAAAAAAAAATCTGCATACCTCTAAAGATTGGTCTTGGAAGTTGGTTGCACTTTCTGCTTCTCATAATCCATATTACATTTGGCATTATACAGGGTGATTTCAATAAGATTCATCCAATTTCAAAGCACCACATGTTTTCAACCATGAGGCACCTAGGAACCAATCACATACCAATTGAAAGAGGGGGTCATAGAATTTCTGACTGTCAGTGGAAGATGGCTCCCTTCAGTCTGTGAGGAGATGGAGACCCCTGAGCAGAAAGCGTTTTGCGTTCTCCACTTCAATAACAGTGAATCCGTCATAACTGTGCAACGTGATTTTCGTTGGCAGCGAAGCTCCAACAGCTCAGAGCGTTCGTCGTTGGTTCCACAACACTGGATGAGCTTCGAAATCACACTGAAAGAGCCGTGACTGCAGTGACACCCGACATGCTCAATCGAGTATGGGATGAGTTTGACTATGGCGTTGATGTTGTCTGTACAGCTGGAGGAGGTTCATATTGAGCACTTGTAAAATTACATAATAACTTTTTGCTCATTTAAACCATTTACAATTTACTGTATTGTTCTGTAATGATGTATAAGTGAAATAAATAATTTCGAAATTGGATGAATCTTTCGGAAACACCCTGTATTCATCCTGTAGTTGTTGAAGCTTGTCACAGCACATGTTGCGCTGTATCGATTTGGTCAAAGGTGTTCAAACAGTGTTATCCTGTTGCTGTTGTGAATTACTTAAATCTCAGTAAATCAAATAGAATACACTGATGAGCCAAAACGTTATGACCATCTGCCTAATATGCTGTTGGTCCTCCACGTGCTGCAAAAACAACTCTGACCCACCAAGGCATGGACTCTACAAGACCTCTGAAGGTGCCCTGTGGTATCTGGCATTAAGAAATCAGCAGCAGATCATTTAAGACCTTTAAGTTGCAACGCCCCACGGATTGGACCCACAGATGCTCACTTGGATTGAGGTATGGGGGGTTTGGAGGCCAGAGCAACACCTCGAACTCTTTGTCATGTCCTCAAACCATTCATGAGCAATGTGTGCATTGTGGTGCATTATACTGCTGAAAGAGGCCACTGCCCTCAGGGAATACCATCACCATGAAGGGGTGTACCTGGTCTGCAATCATGTCTAGGTTGGTGGCATCAAATTGACATCCACACGAAAGCCTGGATCCAGAGTTTCCCAGAAAAACATCACCCAAAACATCTGCTGGTTTGGACCAGACAGAATTGCCTCTATTGCCCTCACACATCAGCTAACCTTGGGCGTCCATCACCATGTCACCGGTTCATGGTTTGTCCTCCCAGGACCACTGTTGGTAGGAGCTCACCACAGCTGACCGGCATCCCACAAGCTGTTTCGGAGATGCTCTGATTGGCCATAACGATTTGGTTCTTGTCAAAGTGACTCAGGTCTTTGCACCTGACCATTTCTCCTGAATCCAACACCAATTGCAGACCTTGACATGTGCCATTGTTAGGAGATATCAACAATATTCGCTTAATCTGCGAGTGGTCATAATGTTTTGGCTCGTCTCTGTATGTAATCAGCTGCACTTCTACTTCACACATTTTTTTGTTAATAAGTTTTTATTGATTTTTCATAGTTAATGAACAGTCAACATTCTCTGCGTGCCAGTAACACAAAGGGAGGGGAGGGGGATTGCATTTTTAAGCAGCGCAGAAACTACGCATTTAGGCTCGTGCACCAGTTTTGTATATAAGATGCAGGCAATAATCTGATTTGTGATTAAAACAGGCAGGAAAGGTTTAGTGCATCAGGCCTTGAATATTTTACAATAACTTTGAATATGGCTCGTCCAATCAGATTTTAGAACTGGAGCAATCGGTTTTATAATTGTCTTAATCTGATTGAAGACTATGTAGCCTAATTTGGTTGAGATCCTACATTTTTCTTTCTTTTTCTCCCTCTATCTCTCTCTCTCTCTCTCTCTCTCTCTCTCTCTCTCTCTCTCTCTTGCTCTCTCTCTCTCTTTCACTTGCTCTCTCTCTCTTTCACATCCCCTTATTATTATAATCGCCTTTCAAAACTCTCACCTGGTAGGACCCACCCTTTTCCCCCACACATGCGTACACTTCAAAGCCACTCACACAAGTCATTTTAAGGCTTACACCACATACTTCACATTCATTCCCACTCACACTGAGATCCACAAGGCAGCTGCCCATGTCACATTAGCGCGTCTGCTGTCACGCCAGCATGGTCCCCGACAGCTCCCCCCACCAGCACTACATAACTGAGACTAGCCGTATGCCCAGAGCCAAAAAGAGAGAAGCCCGACACTAAGAGGGGATTTGCGCCTGTCGGGTCCACTTTGAAAGCCACTCAGCTGGGATTTAACCAAGTGGACTGTCTTTAAGGAGGCTTGTTTTGTAGAGTGGAGACAGATGCTCTGGGGCTGTATGAATGGCAGTGTGCTTGAGTAAGATAGAGGCATTGTGGAACTAATGTCAAGTCAAGCTTTATGTTCATGTATCTCATTGGAGTCAAGAGTAATTTTGCGGGACCAGATTTGATCTGAGAATTCACATCTGGAGTTCAATCAATAACAAAGACAAAACAAGATCACTAAATGCTATCGTTAACTAGCGGAACTGTTTTTCCCTTATAAGAAGTAATGTTTAGTATTTTCCATTGGACAATACAAATGAATGCACCATACTTAAAGCTCCATCTTCATAAAGTGTTGGATTGGTTTAGAAATTCCATATGCAGTTTGTTCCCATTCTAATAATTCTGTGTTTCCATCCCAAATAGATATCCTTTTCATGGTTATCCTCAAATGTTCTCCTTACAAGATCACTCTGCACAAGTGAGACTAAGCCAGGGGTTGAGTAAGGAA